CAATGTACTGAATTAATTATTCGAGAAGATTTAGATGGTATTCAAGAAACGAATTCTATACTGATTATTTTATTGTTTTTTCTTATTTAGCTCTTCGAAATATGTATAAATTATTAAAACCAACACATATTGGTATAACTTATATGGTTGAACAATTACGAGAACATATGTCACGTACTGGTCATGAAAGAATTCAATCACTCCCAGGAGATAATGTATGTCGCAGACAAAAAAAAGAAATAATAAAATTTATTTTTTTATTTTAGTTATCAACAACATTTGTTGAAACACTACTTGAAATACATACAAAATATACAGATATAATACGGCAAACATTTGCTAATGATTCCGAATTTATTTCAGCACTTGATAAAGCTTGTGCAACTATAATCAATATGAAAAATGAAAATCGTTTACCTTCTAAAGCTCCTGAATTAGTATATTTGATTTTTGTATAAAAATTTTATAAAGATTATTTTTCCCTAGCTTGCACATTATTGTGATAGTCTATTACGTAAATCATCAAAAACAACGACTGAAAGTGAATTAGAAGAAAAATTACTTAAAACAATTATCATATTTAATTATCTTGATGATAAAGATTATTTTCAACGTGTAAGTTATACATATATATAATAGAAAAGGTATTCAATTGATTGAATTTAGTTCTATCAAAAAATGCTTGCACGTCGACTTATTAATCAACAATCAAGTTCAATGGATGCTGAAGAATTTTTGCTCACAAAACTTAAAGTAAGTCAGATCGTAATCGAAAAATTAGCGATTTCAGAATGTAATAAAACTGCAGCTGTCTATCTCTTATATATGAAATCTATACAGAATATCATGTATTAAAATTAATAGTCGAACTGTTTATCTTGATCATGATATAGTTTATTTAATAATTCTAAAGATTTGGTTTCTTTTAAATAGGAAAAATGTGGATATGAATTTACTGGCAAATTAACTCGTATGTTTCAAGATACTAAAGTTAGTGAAGATCTCAATATAAAATTTTTGGATTATCTGAAATCGGAAACAAAATCAAGAGTACAAAATCAAACAATAACTGCCTTGCTTGGACTTGATTTTTATATATATGTATTGCAGGTAATTATAAATTAGTAGTTCACCGTTTACGATAAAAATTTCTTTTTAATAATTAGGCTAATTCATGGCCTGTTAGTCAACCAGCGGAGAAAACATTTCTAATTCCTCAATTACTTGAACGACCAATGCGAATGGTATGATTTTCTTATTTAATATATTTAGCAAAGATTTTTCTTTCCTAGTTCGAATCATTTTATAATAAACAATATAATGGCAGAAAACTATGTTGGATGTATAATCTATCAAATGGTAAGTAATCACAGATAAATAAAATCTAGCGGGAAACAGCAGACTTCAAGATTTCAAAGAATTCGAAAGACTTCATGCATGAAGTCTCTGCTGTTTCTCTTTCGAATAAAATAAATAATCTTTTTTTTCTTCTTCTTGCAAGCTGATATACGTATGTCACATTTGGATCGTCCATATTTTGTTACTATGAATACATATCAAATGACTATATTATTAATGTTTAATGATCATCAAAAATTAACATTAAATGAACTTGAAGAAGCAACAAAACTTAATATAAAAGAACTTGAAAAACATCTATCATCTTTAATCGATAATAAAATTTTATTAAGTAATACTGTAAGTTATATTTATTGATACAATTGATGATTATATATGTAAATATTTAGACTGATCTCACATTAAATTCAATTATTTCAATAAATTATGAATTTAAAAATAAACGAACAAAATTTAAAATTTCTACAGTTACTCAAAAAGAAACTACTCAAGTAAATTATAACAAACAAAATTTTTAAATAAAACTCGAATTATTTTTATTTTAGGATGCTGAAATATCTCAAAATGCCATTGATGATGATCGAAAATTTTATTTACAAGCTATAGTTGTACGAATAATGAAATCAAGAAAAACTTTAAAACATAATTTATTGATTGATGAAGTCATAACACAATCAAAACAACGTTTTACACCATCGATTTCACTTATTAAAAAATGTATTGAAATTCTTATCGATAAACAATATCTTGAACGACATTCCGCTGATGAATATCGTTATATTACATAAATTCTATTATCTTCATAGATCTAAACAAAATGTTTTATACATATTTTTTTAGTTTCTTTTTTTCTACATACGCGATAAATGAAATTTTAATTAAGCTCCTATCGTTTATGAGTGCAATGAGTATAAAATATATAGGTTTGTTAAGAACAAAACTCAGCTCATCGATTATTCTTCCATATATTATTAATTCGGAAAATTTTCTTTCAACTAACACAATAATTTTTATCTAATAAATGATTGTTTATTGTCTTTTCTTCTAACTACCTACGCATACAAGTGTTTGTGAAAGAGGAAAATATTTTTATATTTGTTATATTCCACGTCTTTTTTCTTTTTTTGTTTTCTTTGATTAACTTTATAACCCTTTGTCTTTCGATTTTTTTTTACAAAATAAAAAATAATTGAGAAAATTAAAGATAAAAAACTATGTAAACAAGTCATTATAAATCAATCATAATCAGTTCAAATCAAAACAATCAATGAATACTTTTGCATGGATTTTCACCGCGGGAAACACATACCGCTTTTATTTTGTTGTTGAGTATAAATTCTTAATAGAGTAGAATGATAACATCTATGAACTTACTAAAGAAGAAATTTTCCACGATATTGTATTCATTTTAATTGGAAATTTTTATAATTATCTTTCGATAGTCACTTGACTTATTTATTTCATCTCTTAATCGTACATAAATACTATGATTGACTATAAAATAAAAAATGCTAGCTGGAAATATCAATATTTCCAAAAGCTAATTGTAGAAGATGTTTCTTTGCTAAATAGCTTGTTTTATATATTAATCATATATTAGTATTAAAAATCTTAATTGCAACTATCTTTTGAATAGCAAGACTTTCTTTTTTCTGTCATATTAGTTCTGCAATATTGTTGTTTGAGCAATTCCTCTATTATGAAGACAGATCTCATGGCGATAAGTTTACTGTATTCTGATTGGTTCAAAGATTTCTCAAATGATCTTAGACGAAAGTAAAAAACACCCGACGATGATCATCATGATCGATGTTAGTTTTTTTTCTCCTTCATTACTATTATGATAATGACTATAGTTTTATTTGTATTTAAATTTTATTCAATATATTTACTTATTATATTTTAGATGGCAAACAGCATACAACAAGACATCGCTGTTTTATCATCTATAGATCATCATGACGTAAAACAATGGCAACATTGTTCATTATTCAATTTAGATCTATTTAATGATGATAATCATCAATTAAATTTAACTAAAAATATAATTGATAATAAAAATATTGATGGATGTTGTTGTTCATCTTCGACACCGAATGTTGATGATTCATGTGGAAAAAATCATTTAAATCATTCATGTTCATTTGTCGTTCTACAAAAAAATTATACGACACAACTTGAACATGTTGCTGAAACTTTATTAGCTAATGAAAATAAAACTCCAAATAATTGTTGTTATTGTTGTACTCTGGATACAAATGATACAAAAACACAATCACTTAATAGAAAAATTCTTATTGGTTCATCAGCTATACTTGATAGTTTACTTCGAAATAATCTTAAAACACCACCACCATCATCACAACCAACAACAACAACAACAACTATAAATTCAAGTAATATTTCAAAAACTAATATGAATATAACTGGAAATCAAAGACGATGGCATTCTGAACGTGGTACTCGCCATCCAAATGTTCGTGCTAATTTACCATTAACAACTGCTCAAAGACAAGTACTTGAACGATATATGAATTATCCATTAATCAAACAACCAACAAATATTCGTTCTACACGTCGTTCACATTATCAACCATTAACAGGCAAAGCAGGTGAAGCTACTGGTACAGCACTTTCCGCTCTTGCTGAACAACCAACAACGAGTGCATCTGTTATTGTAAATCTTCGAAAAAATAGTGCACCATCAAGTCATACTCGTCCTTTATCATCAACTTCATCATCAGCATCAGCTGTATCTCATCATAGTGCATTGAATCGACGTTTTTTAGCAGATACAATTAAATCTCGAGAAGATTCTGAAGATGAAGATAATGATAATGAATCGATATCATCAGAACTTGATCAAACTAGTGATGAAGAAAATAGTGAAATTAATCCAATACCTATTGTACCAAATCTCTTAGATCATCACGCAACTTTAACTGAAACTTTATCGGAATGTGGTATATGTTGTGAAATGAAACGTCTTCAAAAACGAATATGTTGTAATTTTTATGCATGTTCAACATGTTTAAATATTTATGTTGAACAACAAATTAAACAAGGTATTATTCGAATACAATGTCCAAATCAACAATGTTCTATTTATATGCATCGAGATGAAATTAATAAACGATGTATAACACCCGAATTACGACAAAAATTAACACGATTTTTAGTTGATGCAAATCGTTCAATGAATATAAAAACATGCCCACGATGTTCAAATATTCATGAAATAGGTAATTGAATTTTTCTTGTTTTCAAAGCTAAAAAAATTCTTCTATAGATCTTGAAGTTTTTCGCTCAATGCGTCGTGCACCAACGAAAGTTCAATGTGTTGAATGCAATTTAATTTGGTGCTTTCAATGTCATTCTCCATGGCATGATGGTATACAGTGTAAAGAATTTCGGCGTGGTGATCGAATGTTAAAAAAATGGGCAAGAGAAGTTCATTATGGACAACATAACGCACAACAATGTCCATCGTGCAAAGTAAAATTTGCAACTCTTATTTTTTTGTGAAAGAGTTTTATCATTTATTTATTTCAAGGTATATATTCAACGAACTAAAGGATGTGATCATATAGTTTGTTTGCGTTGTAAAACAGAATTTTGTTATAAATGTGGTGGTCGCTTTCGAGATATTAAATTTATTGGTAAAGATTTTTTTTGCAATCTAAACTAATCTATAGATATATGTGAAATATTGTTTTTTGTTTCTAGGCGATCATTACAGTGAGTTAAGTGTACTCGGTTGTAAATATCGTTTTTATCCTGATCGTCCATTAAAACGTCGTCTTATACGAGGTTCAATTCTTTGTGGAAAAATTTTAGCAGCACCTGTTATTCTATGTTTGGCTGTTGTGGCTGGCGCTGTTTGTGCTGGTATTGGTTTACCAGCTTATTGTTGTTTTACACTTGTTCGACATATTAAAGTACTGAAAGACTTTTTTATCTGAATTAATAATATACTTTATTTTTAGGCTAGACGACGAAGACATCATTCGAAACTAAAAGAACCTGTTCTGATGAGTTGTAAGTGTATGAATATTCTAAAAATATAGGATTAGAAAGGAATAGTTTTCTAAAATTGTGTTTTATTTTATAAACTAGATAAAACATTGAATGATATGGTACCACAATTAATTCCGCGTGATCCAGTAAATCTTGACGGTGTCAAAGCAGGTTTTAATTCAATTCTATCGAATATTCAAATAAATGAAACAACTAATATAGAAATTGATCCAACAAATAATGCTCCAATTGCTGTTTTTGATGGTATAAGCTTTCTATCTTTATTCAGTTTTTATATTTTCTTTTTATATTAGAATGTGATATTCATATTCCGACAAACCAAACAGGTAACTTAATTTTTTTTTGAAATTATCTTAACTATTCTATATTTATCTAGAAGACCCAGTATATATCCCAGTTAATTCTCTATTATCAACTTCTGTTCCAACAACATCACCAAATTTTCCTCGATTAACTCCTTATACAACATTACGAAATTTATCATCCAAAACAAATGTATAAAAAAAAAAAAGAAAATTAATATTTCCTTTTCTCTTTCTCAATAACT